TAATTATCCTATCCAATTATGTGTCATAGCCAGATTTAATAAGCATTATATATATATTTATCGATATATATATATATATGGGGGAGGGATAGAGGGATGGAGAGAGAGGGAGAGAGAAAGAGAGAGAGAGAATGAATATATATCAGTGTTCTAATTAGCATGCTAGTTTAGTGTGAACTGAATGATACATCTATTAAGTGGATCCACAGCTGGTTTGCAAAGGATACTTTAAAATGTTTGTCATATCCTCATCAGATTAGAGGGAGGTTTTAAATGAGATGGCAAAAAGTGCAGTCCTGGATCAGATACTTTCTACCAGTTTTATTAATGACTTAAATGACAAGGTGGTGAAAATGCTTATTAAATCTGGCTATGACACATAATTGGATAGGATAATTAAAATCGTTGAAGAGATATGAAGTTCAAATTGATCTTGATAGAACTGCAAAAAATGGATTTAAAAAATAGACCAAAAAAGGGAAGTTTTTCTTCTTTTTTAATCTAGGAAAATAAAATCAATGCACAGAATAAGATCAAGGATATATGGCCTGGCAACAGTCCATGTCCAAACAACCTTGAGATTGTAGTTGATCCTAACCTGAATGTGAGTCAGCAGTGTAATGTATCTGCAAAATAAATAAATATGGGCATACGTTCCAGGCTGCATCAATAGAAGTACAATATATTAATCATGATAATCATTCCATTTTATTTTGAATTAGTCACACTTCACCTCACCTACACAGTCCAGTGTTGAATACTACACTTTAAGAACATTCAGACAAATTAAAATGGGACCAAAGAAAGGCAAAGAAAATAATTGGGGACTTAGAAACTCAACCCTTGGAGGAAATTAAAGAAATGAAAATATTGAAAAAACTAAGGGGATTCATGATAGCAGTCCTAAATGAAAAGAGTAGGCCATGCTCAGTTTTCTATAATTCCATTAAAATGATTAAGGGCAGATTCTGTCAGGACCATGTGTGAGTTTTTAATATTTTTACATTAATGTGACCCAAAATGTGTCATGTTCTCTACACAACTCCTAAAACTAGATAGAGGACCCAATTAAGCATATCAATCAAAAATTATCCTTCTTTATTTTTATTTACTACAAATAGTTTTATGATATTATCCAGCCTGGTCAGCATCAACAACTGATTTTTAGAGATCCTCATTTGTTCATACCGTGACCCTTATTTTCATATATAAATTGAAGAAATGAACAAATATAATGCCTCTATTATGAAATTCAGACTTTGATGGTAACTATTTAGAATTCTGTTCTTTAAATAAGGCAGGACCTCCCACATTTACACTTGATTATCATCTCATTGATTGACTCTAATTTCCTGTTCCAATCAACCCTTAATCCTGGAAATTCTAATGAAGTGTTAATCTTATAAATTCACATAATTTTGTCATAAATAAATAGCTTTGGATCATTTTTCTCAATGAAAGGAAGAACAAGATGGTATTATCTCCACATAAAAGTATATTTGCATTTATGTTCCCAACTAATATATATCTTCTAACATAATCTCTAGCATTTCTTACACATCTATTCATCTATAATGTGATTCCAAACATACATTTATTGACACCGGGCTATGAAAATGAGTCTCACTTTTCAGTAAAAAAAACAACAACATTGTGTTATGTGTGTGTGTGTGTGTGTGCTGTGAACGTAATTCTAAATAGTTGGGTATTTTTTTAAAAAAATGCTAAAAAATGAAAATTTCCAATTATATGTCTCAGAAATATTAGACTTATTATTTTAAAAGACTGGTTCTTAATTTATTATTGATATTAGTATATATGCCACAGTATAGTATAATTGTTGTCAGATAACTAGTGGAAGACAGGAAGTGCATGCTAGAATTTACTTCTGAATGGGCTTAGAGGTAGAGAAGCGAACAGTTTTTGTGTATTAAGGAGAGCAAGGCAAGATAAATGGCAGCAAGTCATAATAATTGATTATATTTTTGTTTTAATTTATAGGTGAAATTGGGTGGAGAAGCTCCTAATTCCAACGTTATCCACATACCTAATGGTACTGCTGAAAGCAGCAGCAACTGCAGATGGAAAAGCTCCATGGGAAAATATGGAAGTGAATGCCATCTCTTAGACTTTGCCAAATCAGAGCGCCCACTTGTAATCAACTTTGGGTCAGCTACCTGACCTCCCTTCACAAACCAGCTGTCTGCCTTTGGCAAGTTGGTGGAAGAGTTCTCTAGTGTGGCTGACTTTCTGTTAGTCTACATTGATGAGGCTCACCCATCAGATGGCTGGGCTGCTCCTGGTATCTCATCTTCATTTGAAGTCAAGAAACATAGGAACCAAGAAGACAGATGTGCTGCTGCTCACCAGCTTCTAAAGAAATTTTCTTTGCCACCACAGTGCCAGATAGTGGCTGATTGCATGGACAATAATGCCAATGTGGCTTATGGAGTCTCCTTTGAGCGTGTATGCATTATACAAAGACAAAAAATTGCTTACCTGGGGGGGAAAGGCCCTTTTTTCTACAATCTTCAAGAGGTTCGACTTTGGCTGGAGCAAAACTTCAGGAAAAGATGAAATCCAAATTTACCAGATAAGAAGTCAAGAGGACTGTCCTTTTAAAATAATGCAAAAAGAAAACAAGTTGCATTTTGTTTTGAATAGGATTTTTCTGCCTTTGGGGACAAAACAGGCCTAGTAAAAAGTTTAAATGCACAAAGTGGTTACAAACAACAATGAATTCCCAGTAGCTTTCTGAAAAAGGAGCTGAGATTCCCTCCCCTTTCATAGAACAAGTCTTCTGAGATTTTTGTGCCATGAGATAGTGGAAGCACACCAAACCATTATATCAAGGTTTATGAAAAATGATATATCACATCCTGAGCTTTAAAAAATCATGTCGTCCTTCAGAAATTGTCCTGTTACATTCCATCATAGCATGTTCAGAATCTAAAGCTTGCCAGTTATCATGAAATAATTATTTTAGTTTGTTGTAGTGAGGTACCATTTCGTAGATATTCCAGATTCCAGCATCCATAAATTGGACAGTTAATTGCCTTCTTAATTGCTGAAAATAAGAACTGCTATTCACTTTGCTATAATACTTTTTTGTTTTTGCAATGTAGTACAGCTTGGAAATCTTTTACTTTGATTCTAACTCTTTTAGTGCTTCAAAGACAAAGAATTCTGTAAGAGCAGGTTATACACTAACACTGCATTGCATGATTTAGCTGAAATATCTCCTAGCAACAGTCAACATGGAAATTACTTGGGCTGTTCTGAATCTTAGTTTATATCCCCCAAAGTGAATTTCTTAATAATTTTGAAGTAGTGAAGACTATTGTGTTTTGAGCCAATTCAGAGAATCTAGCTCAAATGGATTTCCACCATGTCTATAAAAGAAATAATTTATGTTGAAAAACTTGTCTCAATCAACTGACAGTTTATTTTGTCTGCCCCAAACCCAATTCTCTGAATTTTGTTGTGAAAGATCAGTATTAGACTCATTATGTTTGAGCCTGGATATATCCAGGACAGTTATGCAATCAGGTGTGCAATTGATTTCTCATATCCAATTCCTATAACTGGTTTGTGAAAAGCATGCTTCAGTAAATATCTCTTATTGCAAAAAAAAAAAAAGAAAGAAAGAAAGAAAGAAAAAGAAAGCTTGTGCTGCCTGCCAGCATAAACTAATTTTTGAAAGTAAGCTCTTCAGGTAAAAAATTAACACTTGAAGTATTTTCTTTCAACTTAAACTTTAAAGTGCATCTCATGGCAACCTCATTTCCCATTATCACATTATTTGGGGGGGGGGAACCTGCAAGGATTTCAGGGGGTGCATACTACCTGCAAATCTTCATCCTTTGCTGATCCCTCATGAAGCTTTAAACTGGTGGATTATTACACGTGAAAAAGTGGTTGGGATCTTGGAAGTGGCATGGGTTGGTATTTTGTATTGGATCACATAAGGAACAATCATGAGAACATTACCTTGCATTCTTTCTGCACTGAGGTAATGTCTGAGCAATGTAATGAAAGGTTATCTCTGTGTTAGAAAAAAATATTGTGTGTATAACAATCTTTTGGGAAGATTGATGAGAGAATGCCCGGAATCATATCCAATTATAGAAACAAACTTCTTTTATGTTAAGCCTGGATGCATGGATGGAAACTATCAGGTTTATTTGCCTTTTTTTTTTTACAAATTCAACAACAGTGCAATTAATATTAGCTGTTAGTGTATAATTTTTCTAAAAAAATAATTTATTGCATTTGAAAATGGTGAAAGTGGTGTATCTTTTTACTTTATTGGGATTGAGAATGTATTCATAAATTAATGTGGGTTGGCTTGATGCAATTTTTGTTGATGCATTGTTTGCCCTTCGACCCAATAACCTGAAATTAGGTTTTAACCACATAGATTTAATGTGAAACAGATTTCAGCTTTAGGACTGATGAACTGCAGAACAGTAGAAAGCCAAATCCTTTGTCCACCTTCCATTTAAAAAAATAATAATTTCCCCTTAAATACTAATTAAATACTAATTTTGGCCTCATGGCTACTATCTCTCTTCATCTGCCTGTCTCTTTACCTAACCCATTAAATGGGTGACAAAAATGGAAGGAGTTTTAATGAAATAGTTGGGATGTTCGAATTTGGAAGAAGAAGACAAAGTAGAATGGTTTTGAAAGAAAGGCTGGGTAGTATTTTCCTGAAAAATGTTCTGTACAAAATGCACTGAAATAAGTACAGTGCGTAGAGTTGCCTTGCTCGCACAATGATGCCATTTGCCCATTTTTATTCAAAGTACATAAATATTGTGAAAGAAAAGAGAAGGGGTAAAAGTCATTTTCTGAGGACAAAATTCAGAGAAGGGCAAGAAAGCATTACCAACCAATTAAATTCCACAAAGACTTAAAATTCCTTTAATTCATTAGTTCCTTATGGAACCATTGTTCTGATATTGGTCAAGAATTTTTCTAATACTCAACACATATTTTAGATAATGTTTCTCTCCAATGAAAGGATGCAAACTTGATAGTGGAGTTTGAATGCTATTTTTTTCTATGTCCATTTTTTTCTTTGCTTCTCTTTTACAGGTATACAACACTCGGGCACACAATTATAGAGAAAGATGTCAGAGGAGTTGAGAATGAATGTACTAAAAAGCTGACAGATGGAGGGTGAGGAGGTGGCATATGTTGTTACAGTTTGAAAAATTTGAGGATGGTGAAGGTATAGAGGCAGACAGTTGCAGGAAAGTAGTATTTTAATTTAGGATGGGATCATTGCTAAAATATGAAACAAGCAATCATTAATATAAATTAAATGCTCATCTTTTTAAACAGTAACCTGTTGGCAGGGATGCAAAACATATTTCTTAGCAAATGATTTCAGTGACATTCTTTTAAAAATGATCTTCCAGTGAACAGATTCCTTAATGTTTCTCTTAAATTGTTTTTTTCTTTAACTTGTCCTTACTTTGCCATTATAGCATATAGGTAGTTCTTGATTTATGACTGTAATGGAGCCTGGAATTTCTGCAATATGGCATGTTGATTGTAAGTCAAGGTCACCAGAGGACAGGCCCAATTTTATGTTTTTGTGGCAGTAATTAAGTAAATGTAATGGGTATGAAACAAACCCTGAAGCCATTAAGTGAATGCTACAATTATTAAGTGAATGCCATTGTTGTTAGGCAAACCATTGTCTGCAATGGACAGTTTTTGCCGGAAACCAGTCGTAACTGCTGATTTCTGGAAAAAAAATGTATAAATAACAGTTGTGTGATAGTGAGACAAATGGTCATAATACAGGCAAGTTCCTGAATGCCCCAAATACAATCATGTAACAGCTGGAGTGGGTGGGTGGGCTGTCATAAAAACTTCAAACCTAAATTGCAAGGTCCAGTGTAACTTTTGTTGCTAATTGACTGGTTGTAAGTCAAGGACTACCCATATAATTTATCAATTGAAGACCTTAGTTCTATTTATATTCATTTAATAATTAGGCTGACAGATTCTAGGTGAATTACACTTTAGGATTGTTATCTAATCCACTTAATATAACATTCAGCTTCAGGCAGTCTTTTCGACTTAAGATTGAATCCCATTTAAGGCTCAGTCCAGAAGAATTGTTGTGCTGATGAAGAGGTTTTCCCCTACTGTATATCTAAAAAAAAAAAACCTTTAAACGAGAATGGCAATTTAGAGTTTGAACTGAGTTTGTTAAGACATTCAGGTCCCATAAGACATCTGGTTGCTTCTGAAATCCCATTCTCTGCATATTGACTATGTTTATTGAACCCGAATTTACGCACATCAAAATGGCAAGTACCTTCTCAGATGAATTGATACAGTAGTCTGAGAAAACTACAATTATTCATTTGATTACATCTAAATGAACTACAGTAGATTATAGAATGTTGTATCTTTTTAAGAAAAAGAAGACATTTAGCGCACATCTCATTATTCCACTGATTTATACCATTAAAACCTTATGGTTCATGTAAATAATTTTATGTTCTGAATAATTCAAATTATTCCATTGCTTTCCCTCTTTTTTTGATAAATGCTTTCTTTTCAAACCTGGTATGGAAATGGAATAAGCAAAACAAAACGGAAGCACTATTTTGGATGGATACAAAAAAACGGTATAATTTTTATGCTCTTCTTTGTATTCATTATTTATTACAAAGGTTTTTTTTTCTTTTTGAGCATTGCAAACCTTCAACCTTTTCCCCATTAACTCTCTTTTATATGAGAGTTTTATAAAAGAGAAAAACCAAAACATTTTGTTTGATTGCTGGAGTATGCCTTAACTCAAATGGGCTGAAAATGAGTAATCTTTAATACAATTTAGCATATACAAAAATTTTATTTGATGTATCGATCAGTACCATAATTGTGAAAAAGATACAGAATAACAGATTTGAAAAGGACCTTGGAGGTCTTCTAGTCCAACCCCCTGCTTAGGCAGGAAACCATATACCATTTCAGACAAATAGTTGTCCAATCTCTTCTTTAAAAACTTCCAGTGTTGGAGCATTTACAACTTATTTGGGGCAAGTCGTTACATTGATTGTTCTGAATGTCAGGAAATTTCTCCGTAGTTCTAGGTTGCTTCTCTCCTTAATTAGCAACCTAGAACTAACATTTTAAAGCTCTGTATGCTAGCACTTTCTTTTCTTCCTTTGAAAAAGAAAGGAGGGGTGATCTAGAGGAGAATATACTGTATTTCTATCCCATACAAAACTATTAGTGAAAGAAGTACTGAAGGTTTTAGATCCATACTGAAAAGAAGCAGCCCTTGGATTATCATGACTTTAAAATAAAATAAACAGCTCTCAAATTTTAGACAGTTAAACTTTAGTGTATGTAATGTTTCTCAAACAATATATGTATAGGCAGGTGGGCATAGAATGGTGTTCCTGCATTCCATTTAATTATTCAACTGGGTTCAAAGAATCTCTGAAAAATCAGTATGGGGCTTATCTTCACCTCAACAAAAACAGATAACTCTTAAGATTGGAACACTGCTTTCATTTTGGAATAATTCATTGTTGAATATAGTTTGCAGTTTTATGTTTTGAACTGAGGCAAAAGCTGTAATTTGAAAAATGTCATGCAAAGCTACAAGTTTGCACTCAAGTTGGCATGGAGCCTGGCCAATCTTTAAAAGATCAGTGTAGTCCAAGGAGATTTAGTTCTTTTTCCCACCCCACGATGATATGTTTTCCTTCTGGCCACAAAAATGGAGGAAAACATATCTTTTTGCAAAAAGGACTGCCTCCATACTTCCAAAATGAGTTGCTGCAGGTTGTCAATCTTTCTTAGGTTCCTCCTGCTAAAATCAGAATGTTCACTTGGAAAATTGCTTTGCATTTTCCAATGGAAAATATGACTTTTTTGTCAGATCACTGATCCAGTTTCAGTCTGCCTCAGTCTCAGTCTCAGGCATCAAGATGGGGATTCCATCTGGAGGACATGTCCTCAACATACAGTTCACAAGCCATCTCAATGCTGAGACAGGGAAAGTGCGTAGATGAGGCCACAGTGTTATCCAGAACAGTCTGACTTGAAATAAAGTATGATCAGAGCTAGATCCAAACCATTCTAAACAATGGCAGATCTAGTATTCAGTCTTAGATGCCACTTAGGAAGCAAGCTCTGTTTTGTCTTGTATTTTGAGCTCTGTAAAAATATAATCTGTGAAAAACAGATTTCATGCATCTTAACATTAGTATAGCAGTGTACTTTGCTTATATTTTACATTTACAACAAGGCACATCAGTGAATCAGATTCATACTATTTTTTAAAATGAAATATACTATAAATTTGTGAGAAGGCTTAAGGTGAGATCACTTATATGAAGGGTATTTCGTAAAGTATGTTTTTGTGAGCTTATTTGGTATTCTGTGTGATCTTTTGTGTTGGCAGATGTTGGCTTTAGATCTTTAAAACCTACATTCAATAATATAACCAAAGCAATAAAAGATGTATCAGGTAGGGAATACTGGCCAGTCATATTCATTTCTTTACCATAATCAACTCAGAACCCATATTGACCAAACTTTAGCTGTACCCAAGACTGGTTTGCAAAGATGAGAAGTTTGGATGAAACAGAGATGCTGGTGTTTTCATGAAGACCACTAACAAAAGAGTACCACACTCAGTTGGTGATCAGATGCTTTCTATACTGGCATTTCTTTTTTCTTCTTATATTTTTGGGTTTAGAAATGTGGATGTGTTTGAAATCCATTTGATATGAGTCCTGGGTCAATATGGTGGTGAACATTTGTTTATGAGTATGCTTGTTTTATTCTTAAATGTCATAAATACTCTGTAGAAAAATGAGCAAAACATGTTACAATATTGGTGCTGTGTGGACCATATACTTTATAGAACTGTTTTTTTCTCCTTGTATTTTAATAAAAGTGGAAGAAAAACAATACATACTTTGTCTCCTTTTTAAAATTATTGTAGGAGATGTGTTTCTAAAGGCCAGATGAAAATAGTAAATATCCACTTTAGATTGTGCAAGTTTTGCAGTAGCCTGATTTGAGATGATCCAAAAGTGGTATTATAGATTCATTTAATGTAAATGAAAAAAGGCAATATAATACCTGGCTGAAGCCCAATTCATTCAGATTTAATGATCTAGATTGGAGCCATAGTGGGTAAATTGATGTGAATGGAAGGGAGCTTTAGATGCCTCTTTATCAAGGGCTAGAGGAAGAAGAAGGAGGCAGCAGAGGAGTTGAGTGACCTCTCTAACAATAATATATATTTGGCTTCTCAATCTTTCCTTAGTTTAGTAGTCACCACCACTATTGTTTCCATCTATATTGCCTTTGGGTTTGATCCCTAAGGTAGCATGAATGACCCCAAGACCTGTGAGATCGTAATGGCAACAACTATCTGGACTGACATTCTGTGTGATGCCATAGCATAAAATATTGTTATTAAATAGGAAGTTCAGTATCAGATGCTTGGGCTTACCATGATACATACTGACACCAAGCCCATTAAGTTTTCAGTATCACTCATTTCACTGAGGGAGATTTAAGCACATGTTTAATTCTCCAATTGCAACCAATAAAGCATAAAATATTTTAAATTGGTCGAACCATTATGTCTGCCATAAGTGACTTTTAAAAAAAACCATGCAGTTTAATCTAATGGCTTAGATGTAATACAGCTATGCTGCCCTTTGAGTATCCTATTCAACATCCTTTTTTCTCCCTGAAATGAAACAGGTACCAGATTTCTTAATTCAGTTAGACGCACTTAACAGTGCAAACTATACAAAAATAAATCCCACTGAACTTCCTTACTTTGCCACAGACAAAGAAAATTAAAGGAAGCTTAATATTGAGTATCAACATTCATTGTTACTAGAGAGGAAGAGTCATGCAAATGAATAAGGAGCAAATAAGAGGACATACGTGCTGCCAACATACATTAGAAGTTCATTAAAAAAAAATCTGTCAGCTAAATACTTTTGAGAAAGCAGGTAGTGATCCTGTTGGCTACTGGCTTATTCAGTTAATTTAAGTATGGATCAAATTGATCTTAATATTTCATTCATTGATAAATTAATAATGGAGTAATAGATGAATAAGCCTCACCTCTTACTTTCTTAATTTAAAAAATCTAATAGAAGGAGATGGTTAAAATATTTTCTCTGGATCCTTCAAAAGATTCATTTAATTGCTGGTAGGATTAATAATTTTGCTGCTTGAATTGGAGGAAGAAATGATGTCCCTTCCCAATTCTATTTGTACATTATATATTAAAATTATATTCCACTGACTCCTGACAAACTTGGCTGTTTGTTCCAAGTGGTTTCAGAACCACATAGAACGGATAAAAATTCCACTGTACAGAACTCACAATGTATAAAAATAGCATCGAAATATCAATATTGATGACAATAAATAAGGGTGTAATATAACAATAAAAAAGCAGAACAGCCACAATGAACAGTCTTTCTTCAGCCACCACCCAGAAGAGTTCAGTTTTTACCACATGCTGGGAGGCTATCCATGTGGAGGGAGAGATTGCTCCAGAAATAGACAATACAGTGGAAAAACATCAAGTATGGTTTCAGTCCCCCTCATTTCACAGAACTGGAACACTAATAGCAGCTTCTCCTGGGAGGATCTCCTTAGACAGCTTGACCCAAAATGGAATGGGCCATAGAGATGATATTCTCCAACACCCAAGAAGGAACAGGATTATGTGATTCAACAGAGATTGTTGATATATCCAGCTTCATGATGCATCCAGCTACATCAGAGTGCTTGTAGAACTTAGAAAAACAGACAAAAAGTTACCAGTCTCCACCATCTTTATCATTCATTTGGGGAACTTTTTTCAAAGTCCCCACAGAAAGATGTAGGTTAGGCCAAGAGACAGTGACTGACCCAAAGTTGTACCATGATCAGGTAGTAAGTTGAATCTGAATTTTCTTGAATTAAATCCAACAACCTGGGATTGTTGCAAACTCATGTTGCAAACACTATCAAATGATTCCCTAGACTTGGAAGAACCTATTACTAGCAGCAATAAGCATGAAAATGTTCTGAATAGTATATCAGAATGCCAATGTGTTCATTAAAAACTCATGGAGCACTCTTCCCATACATGATATCTTCCCATACTTATTCCTCCAACTGAATGTTATTTTTTTAGATTCCTTTAGTAAAAAACATAAACTGGCAAATAAGCTTGCTGCAAAGCAAACTGAATAATTAGTATTAAGCCTCATATTATTTTCAATTGTATTATCACTTATTATTATACACAAAAAACAACAGTGTACATGGCAAATGAGATAAGTATGCTGGGTTTCATATCACAAATCACTAGTCAAACACTTCCCAAGTGTTTAGGACTGCGTGATGTATTGGTGGATTATACGAGCAGATCCCAGTAAGGTGGCCTTCTGCAGCTGACCAACGATGATTTTGTCAGTGCCAATTGTTTTCAAGTGCTTGCCTAGGTCTTTAGGCACAGCACCCAGTGTACCACTGGAGTACCACTGGAACCACCTGCACTGGTTTATGCCAGAGTCTTTGCAGTTTGATTCTCAAGTCCTGATATCTGGTGATTTTTTCAAGTTGTTTCTTGTTGATTCTGCTGTCACCAGGTATGGCAATGTCAATGATCCATACTTTTTTCTTCTCCACAATGGTGATATCCGGGGTGTTGTGTTCCAAAACTTTATCAGTCTGTTTTCGGAAGTCCCACAGTAGTTTTGTATGCTCATTTTTCACACTTTTTAAGGCTTATGATCCCACAAGTTCTTTGCTACAGGCAGATGGTAGTTGTGACACGAGTTCCAATGGACCATCTGAGCGACTGTGTTGTGACGTTGTCTGTAGTCAGTCTGACTAATTGTCTTGCAACAGCTCAATATGTGATCGATGGTTTCATCCGCTTCTTTTCAGAATCTGCATTTGGGGTCATCAGCAGATTTTTCTATTCTGGCTTTGATTACATTCATTCTAATGGCTTGTTCTTGGGCTGCAAGAATCAGGCTTTTTGTCTCTTTCTTCAGTGTTCCGTTGGTCAGCCATAACCAGGTCTTTTCCTTATCTACTTTTCCTTGGATTTTTTCAAGGAACTGTTCATGCAGTGCTTTGTTACACCAGCTGTCAGCCCGAAATTTGCATTGCTGTTTTCCTATATTGATCCTTCATTTACTGCACTTTGAGCAGCTTCCTATTGTTGACCTCCATCAAAGCTGGTTCAACACTATCTTTCACATAATCTGCCAGAGCATGCTTCTCTTCTTCGACTGTCTGCTTCACTTGCAAAAGTCCTCTGCCACCTGCTTTTCTGGGCAAATATAGCTTGTCAACATCACTACACAGGTGCAGCGCATAGTGTATGGTCATCAATTTTCTTGTTTTCCTATCCAGGCTGTCCAGCTCTGCCTGTGTCCAGTTTATGATCCCAGCAGTATATCTGATGATGGGTATGGCCCAGGTATTTATAGCCTTCATGGTGTTACCACCATTCAGTTTACTTTTTAGAAGTTTTCTGACCCTTTGTGTGTATTCTTTGCTGACCACATTTTTCACTTGCCCGTGCTTGATATTGTCCAACTGCAGTATGCCCAGGTATTTGTAGGCTTCGAGTTGGTGGCACTTGATGGTTGTCCATTGGGCATTTCAATTCCATCACTTTCTACAATTTTTCCTTTCTTCAGTGCCACTGTGGCACATTTGTCCAGGCTGAATTCCATGCTGATGTGCTGAAAATTTGAACTGTATTGGTCAGTGACTGGATCTCATTTTCTAATTTTCCGTATAACTTCAGATCATCCATGTACAGCAGGTAAGAGATTTTCTGTGAATTTTTAGCAGTTTGATAACCCAGGTTAGTTTTCTGTAAAATTGTTGACAGTGGCAGCATGGTGATGATGAACAGCAGAGGTGACAAAGAATCACTCTGGAAAATCCTTCTTTTGATGTTAACCAGTCCATAGCTTTCACTTCCAATAAACAGTTCTGTTTTCCAGTGCTTCATTGCATTCGCAGTGAAAGTACCAATGCACTTGCATATTCCGATGACATCCAAGCACTTGATGATCCAGCTGTACGGTAGTGAATCAAATGCTTTCTTATAGTCAATCCAAGATGTGTGCAGATTTGTTTTTTGGCTTTTGCAGTTCTCTAGAATCATTTTGTTGATCAGGAGCTGATCTTTTGTGTCTCTGCTTCCTTGTTTGTTTCCTTTCTGCTCTACTGGTAAGATGTTATTTGCTTCTACTACTACTACTATTATTATTATTATTATTATTATTATTATTATTATTATTATTAATAATAATAATAATAATAATAATAATAATAATAATATTTTTCCATTTTTATAATTTATGTAATGCTTCCATAGAACACTTTGAAGGAACCTGAAATTATAAGTTTGATAGTAAAGTCAGATTTCCCAGATGTTTTTTTTTCTATTGTCATAAGAATTGGAATTGAATTATGTTATCATTCTGATCCTCTCCTGGGATACCATAATAAAATGGGCTTATAGAATAAAATAACAGTATAGTTTATTCCAGTAACTTAGTTTGACGATCCTTGGAAACAAGAAAAAGAATAGGTAGCCAACAAGTTCCAGTTCCCCAGACCATAAAAGAAATCTTATCTCTTTTATTAGTGGTTTAGGAAACTTTGATGGCATCAATTGTGTATGATAAATACTTTGTGAAATGCTTTGTTGGTAACAAGTTTCACTAATGCTTAAAACGTGATTGGATGAAGGTAAGGAATGGGTGTATAAGAGATAATGAAAACAGATAGTGACAGAGAGAAAATGAAGGATGAAAAACATTCTCTTGCAATATTCTTCCATTTAGTTTGTAGAACTTGCCCAAAGTCTTAAAAGAACTCACCTCCACTGACTGAGAGCCAAGCTGTTCCCTCAGAAACAGACACCAATTGGCAAGGAAAAAAGCTATCTATGGTAAAGAAAAGGACAATGTAACCTTCCTCAGCTGAGGCTGGTTCTAGATTTGCCTGTAAATGGGGGAGGGGGGAACCAAAGGACATAAAATTATTCTGCCAAGATGGCTTATTTTTTAAATTGGACTCTATAAATTGGTCTGATGGTTTGATTGAAACTTCAAGGAGCCTAGGGTTGTTTCAGAGATCTGTCTAAACTCAGGTGTGAATCAATTTACAACCTATTCTGTTAGTTCATCCTACATTTGCCTTCAATTATTTACTATGGTTGACTACACTGCACATCTACAGAACAGATAACTGGTACATTAATATTAGTTTTAGAAGTTGGATGCATAAATAGTTTGATTAAAGCCTTTCAACTCTACCTCATGAATATAGGATTCCACAGGATATCAAACTATGTCAGCATGGAAGAAGGTAGTATCATAGTTGCTTCTTTTAGCACTAGGCTCTTATTTAAATGAAGACTTTCTAAAGTATAAGGCTTCAGGTTTATAAACCCCATCACAATTTAGTGTCCCATCAGTTTATCATGCACAGTTTCATATTCATAGTGTTCTCTTGAACACAGAGTGAACAAATGAAATCATATCTTTGGCTTCTTTTTACTCTTGACTTAAATTTTACTGTCTCAAATACTATATTTTTGAATATGGGGAGGGGGCTGATGTGCTATGGTCCATGGGGTTGTGAAGTGTCAGATACAACAACAACATACTATATTTTGATTCACAAAAGTGAATCTTTTGAATCTTTTCAGTGCAATATAATATATTTTGCAAGTGTACTAATCTATTCACTCAGCCAATCTATATGGCCACCGATCTTGAAAATCTGACTCAGGGAAGCTGCCATCAGGTTAAAAATCTTCAATACATATAAATAATATCCGTATGAAATTCATAACTCTAATGAAGAATTTGTGCAGGTTATGTTCTCTTTGGTGTCTGTGGATAAATCGTATGCCACTAAAGGTTAACTTTGTAATCCCAATGTTTCTGATAAATGTTCAAATCTTTACTTCCATTTAAATCACTCTTTTTGAAGTGGCAAGAAGAAAAAGTCTTTGGTTGCTAGAAATATAAGAGGCTGTTCTCACTTCCCCTGTGATTAAGAGATTCCATTTCTTTTCAAGACTGTGGGTATAGAACAGCCTTTGCACTGCTCTGTCTATTGTTAGCTGGTTAGTTGAAGACTCCAGCAAACCTGCAGTTTTTATAAAACAATTTGCTTTTATTAATAAAAGCTTCCACAGCCTTTCTGACTCTATGACCCAAGGAACCGCTCCTCTTTCATTCCCCTGCAAGCCATTAAAACACAAAGCAATACTTGTGACCAATTCATTCTTTCCTTTGTTGTTGTTGTTGTTGTTGTTGTTGATAACCCAAATGTTACCAGGTAGTTTTTCAGCATCTCTTTTAGCGTCTCCAGCTTCTATTCTTTTCCACACAACTACCAATGGATTGCAGAGTCCCTAAATCAGTCAGAGTCCTCATTCTGCACCCTGTGGAGCAGAATGAGAAAAATGGGGCAGGTGCTCAATTCCTCAAGTTCTCTGTTCACCTGCATTGAGCTAATTCAAACACCAACATTTATTCACAATATGTATAAACTGTCCCAACCCCAGTGGTTTCTTGGCATTATACAATAAATACATACAAAGCATAGGTAATCCTCCTAACAATTACAAATACAGTACAAACCTCCTTCACAAGACAAAACTCAGAAGTTAGGTGCCCCACAGTTGGTTAACCAGGCCAAAGGCTCACTGGAATAGAATTACATTGAATTATGTCCAAAACATCAGCAAAATAGTGGGCATACAGTTCTGGGAGAAGATACTCTGTAAATCTTGCCATCTCAGCCATATCTAGGTACTACAATAGGATGGGGAGTTACAATAGGCCCTCTGTGGTTGACTGGTCTAGCTTTTCTGCCTGATCTGGCTTCAATGAAGTATTCTCTGATATATCCTAATGCTGTACTTTTTAGAGTTGTCTGGATAATACCCAGCATTTTGAACTGTGTCTAGAAGCCAATGCATTGATTTTAATAGATGTATAATTTACTGGTAGTTTATTCCACCAAAATATTGGCTGCCATATTTATCCCAGCTGCAGCTTCCAGGTTTTCTCTGAAGGTAGCTTTACATAGAACAGATTCCAGAGGTTCATTTGGTAAGATTAACTGACCCATATCCTTGTTTTGAGTTTTTGAATGGATATGTAGTACCAAGTAAGATAGAGTCCAGCAATGGACTTTTTAAATATAGTACTGTATATATATTTATTTAATAGCGACAGCCAGCTAGAATTTCTCAATTTTTTAAAACATTAGAACTGGGCATTCTGGGCAAAGCAAATGTCAGATACCTAGATTAGGTTTCTCTGAAAGATTTGTGTCTCACCTATTCAGTGGCCACTTCATAGGTTGGTGCTAAGTTGCTTAACTACTCCTCCCACAGTCCCTACCTCATTAAGGCTGCTGGGCTTTATGATATCCATAGTAGAGAAAATGAAAGACTCACTTGCCTTCTGGGCTGTAAAAGCAGCTGGCTGGCCCCTCAAGGGTAGAATTTTAAGTGTTTTAATCAATTTCGTGTTTTATCTTCCAGCAGAAGCAAATGGGCTGCTTCAGTGATTTAAATGCTTCTGTCTCTGGGACAACCTAATTCAATTGAACTCTTTAAGTTTTCCTTTGTTGGTGTGCTTTGTTCCAGGCCAGGTAAGTAGATAAGACAAGCCATTACTAAAATCATTATGGGCTGGATCATTACCCAGAATACCATCTGCTGTTATTTTATCAAGCCTCCTCTTATTAAGATGTCATTAAATTGCCTCAGATGCTCACTTATGGTTGATGAGATAAATCAATCCACTTGACAGATGTGTAGAAAAGCAGGTACCCCTTTTTAAATTGTCTCAGCTACAATTGGGTGTCACTCACCATCTATTTAGTCAACAATAAGCCTTTAATTAAATATAATCACCAGAAATGAGCTCTATTGGAATAGCCTTGTTACCGTCTAAAATAGATTGTGTTACCAATGGCTGGAGAAGATGGGAGGAAAAGGACAATGAGAAAGAGGCCATGACAGCTGGTGAGAGTTGATATGTGTCTGACCGATATAAATAATGAATGGCTATGTTGCCTGGAGTCATCAGTGCCATCAGGAAGGGGAAAGACTCTTCTCATCATCGTCATCAAGTTTTTTACTCTGTTCCCATTCTAAATTGGTAACCCTACTTGTGGGCATTGTATGAGGAGAGCTGTGTAAGTTTATGGTTCTCTTAAATTAGGAGAAGTCATGTAGTATTTTTTTCAGACTAACACATTTGATTAAAATCATAAACTTTCATGAGCTACAGTTCACCTCATCAGACAATATCCATTCTTTGCTACTTGTTAGTCTGAAAAAGAGGATTGTAGAGATCCTCCAGCAGAAAATCTGTCACCAGTGGACACTGTCTCAATTATCTTTTTGATGTTCTTGTTCTCCTGGGTCTTTTTATTCTTTATCGATAATTTTCCTTGCTGCAGTAGCAGCTTCCCTGTCTATTGAGATGGCTTGTGTCAAAATAGTCAAGTCAGCAGGTACCACGGTATGTTCAATGTCCTGCCTCATTGTACTTGTGTCAACTTTATCTACATGTTTCAACTGCACTGCCACCATGACTGTCAATTCATGTTTTTTGATCTCTCCCTTGCAGATACTGCTATGCAAGGGAACCTTTTCATTTGTTTTCATTGATACTGCCTAGATCACTTTTATGGTTGTGGGTTACATCTTTTTAAAGTGTATCCTTTATTTATATTTATTTGATTTAGACTATGAAGTGAATCTGCCCTGAAAAACAATGGTTCTGAAAGGTAACCTAGAAATACTTTAAATAAAATAAATTGCATTTTCAATTAATTCATAACTCTGAACGGTGACTACAAGAGGGGTTACCTGGCTCTCGGAGAAGCAAATTCCAGAAAATCACAGCATTAATAAAGAAACATTAATTTTGGCTCCCACCTCACATCATCATCTGCCTATTGACTCACTCCAGATTGATGCCATCTCACAAAGAATTCATTCAATGTTAAATGGACAAAAGGAATGAACCTTGCAACATATTCCTTAGCAAACATGTATAGGGTTGCACAATGAGAATGCAATCCTGTAGAGAAAGCAAAAGAGTCCCTGGGGTGCTTAAGAACATCTTCATTTATTGTATCTTTCTCAAAGCCAGTCTTGGTTGCCAGTTACAATATTTCCTGTACAGGACAGTCTAGGCATAGAGATGCATAAATTCATAATCTCAAGATTGAACCACAGCAATCTTCTAGTCTAGAAACAGCAGCTAATGGAAGATTATTCATTTAAACTGCTGAAATCTATTGTGATTTAAAAATAAATAAATATCAAATGGACACCAACTTTTTAGCAATTACATAGACAGAACTTCTCTAGAATGATCTGTCCCTACTTGGCCCTTCAGTTTTCACTGGCATATTCACCCCTTGTAATCAAGTCCATATGTCTTGCTGGTGATTATCTTCTTTTTCCATTCACTTTACCTATCATTATAGTCTTCTCTAGAGAGTTAGGTCTTGGTATACTGCATGTATCTAAAGTACAGTATAATAATTTGAGCTTGGTCATTTGAGCAGCATATTGTTATTGTTATGGTTCTGTTTGAAGTTTGTTACTCACAATGAAAGCTTTACTCCTTTTCTATGTAAGCCATGACATAACAAATATACAAAAGGGACAGAGCTTGAGGAATAATGTTATGACATTACTTTCATCATTTTGATGAACATGACAAATTCCTATTACTGCTGTATAGTTCTGTTTGTATGTTTGTTTGATTAGATTCTTCTTTGGGATTAGTTTTAATATAAACCAGGCTACATATTTTAAAACTACATTATTAGTTTTCATAAATTAGCCTACATAAAGGGAATCAATGAAAAAAATGTATTATGATATAAACTTCAAAATTATGTTGGATATAATTGGACAACAAGCCCTGTAATCCTAGTTAACACGACCTAGGCTACCTCAAAAATACCAGAGTAGGCAAGACTGATTTAAGGCATAATTATATTTGTTACTTTTCATAGTTCCATAACCCCCTTTATTGTTTTCCCTGTAACACTTAATCATCTCAAAAGTCCCAGTATCTATAATTCTTCCTTAGTCAAAAAACCATGAAATAGTAACTTAAATGTCACAATCTTAGTGCTTGTTCTAAAGAGACATCTAGGCATAATTTAAATATATTATTATCATTTACAATGTTGAAATAGCATAAATTGGTAAAACTATTTCTGTGTATAAAAATGAAAGATTTCCTTCCTTCATTTTTATTATTCTGCTATTTTCTTTCTTTGAAGTCTCTTTCATAATTTTTGTACAATTTGTCTCAGTAATGGAAAAAGGGAATGTATCCATTATAAATATACTTACATATTGCTACATCTTTTTCCATTCAAACCTTACTATCCAAACTTCTCAAAAATTGGACACAGATGACTACAGTTCTACTCCCCACACCATTCCACCCCATGGCTTCTGGGGAAGGTTTATTTGCCAAATTGTCTGGTGGTGATCACATAATTAAAACTGCTTAAAGAACATTAGAAAACATCACTCTAGTATTATGTTAAATAATCAAAATCAAAGTACTTTTGGAACACATTTGAAGAAATGCTGTTTTGATCTTTGCACATGTTCACTTGTGTCATAAAAATATTTATTGTAGCCTGGTCTAAATTATCATATCCCAGAGATCGATAATTTAACCAATGTTTGCATCTATATAATTACCATTTCTCAGCTGATTTGTTTTCATATTAACTTTCATTGAAAGCAAACATTCCCAAATCAGCAGCCTGGACAGACAGACAGATAGATATACATAGACCAGACTTCTCATTTATGATCACTTATGACTGGGCTTTATTGCAGACTTTTGCAGCAGCTGAGGCCTCTGAGGATCCCTGACCAGAAAATAGGGTTGCACTTAGGGAGGCAGAACATAATACCAAAGAAAGATCCTAGTGCTTAATTCCCTGAGAGTGACTCACTGTCAGCCCTTCTAGGTAAACCAGCAAAAATAAGACTACAGGAACTAATTATACTATATGTAATGCAACATAAACAGAATCTTGCAAATCTGAAGGCACAAACTTCCTACAGCCTGTTAGGGATATACCCTAGCAAGGATCTGCAGGGCAGTCAGGCAGGCAGGCAAAATATGTGTGAGATAAACGTTGTTTGTAGCTTACACACAGTAAAACAGAGGGCACAGTGCTAATTAAATAGTTTTATTCCGGCAAGAGTTAAAGCATAGTCAAAAACAGTCCATATATCATTCACTTAGTTCAGTCCGTCCAGGGATTATTCATTTGCAAATTCCAGTGTCGAAAAAGAGAGGTCAGTACACTTACAAATATCAGTCCGGTGATATATCTTCTCGCAGTAGAGAGATATGAAAGAACTCAGAAACTCCTCTCTTCTGTCTGCAATTCGTCAGTAGGGAAAAACACGCAGCTAACAAACATCAACGTAATCCAATCCAGTAATTGTCAGTAATTGCCAGCAAACTGTCAGCGTCTCGTCAGCAATCAATCAGGTTGTCTTGCTGCCTCTTATGGTGGTTTCACACCACACCCAAAATTACATGCTTTGCAGTTAAAGTGACACACACTTAAACTAACATTCATAGTTTATATATATTATTTTACCCAAATTTCGTTAGGTGACCTATGTTATACCTAACATTCTCCCCTTTTGGGTAATATAATAATATATATATCTTTTTACAACCTTAACCCATAGTCATCACAACTCTCTTTGTGTTTCACTGCACTTTAGGCTTTTGTGAACTGATCAGCAATATTTTGCTCAGTCATACAATATTCCAATCTTATTAAACCATCTTTTACAGATTGTCTTACATTCAGATATCTAAGATCTGTATGCTTAGATCTCGTTTTTACAGCAATATTTGTAGCCATCTGTATGGCTGCTTGATTGTCCTCATACACAACAATGGAATCATTAACAGTTAATCCCATATCCAACAACAACTGTTTATACAGAATTAAATCAGTACATAATAAAGATAGACATGAAAATTCTGCTTCCATTGTGGACATACTTATGTGTTGCTGTCTAATTGACCTCCAACCAATCAATGCTTTTCCTAGTAGTATAGCCATTCCTGAAGTTGATTTCCTAGTGTTTATATCTGTTGCAAAACTTGCATCAGCATATGCACTTAAAATCAAATCATCTTTTGGCTCCAAATACAATGCATAGTGCATTGTCCTTTTAAGATATCTTAAGATACGTTTTGCTGCTTGCCAGTGTCGTTCAGCGGGTTCTGCGTTGAATCGAGCCAATTGATTAACGCCATAGGCAATATCTGACCTTGACCAATTACTAATGTATGATAGACTACCAATTAATGACTGATAGATAGTCTTATCGAATTTTGAACTCTGAGCATCAGTCCGGCAAAATTCCTGACTCATTGGAGTTTTTGCTGGTTTACAAAGTTCCATCTTATATGTTTTTAGTAATTGATAAATTTTATCCTCTTGAGATATCTTATAGCCACCGTTGGTTTTATTTATTGTCAATCCTAGATACTGTTTTATCTCTCCTAATTGCTTTAATTTTATCCTCTTTCCTAATAATGATATTATTTCAGTAGCTTCATTATTAGTTTTTGTAATTAAGGCAATATCATCTGTAAACAACAATAATAATGACACTATTCCATTTGTCTCTCTTTTAAATAAACATGGATCAGCTAACCCTGCTTTAAACCCTATATTGTTTAACTCCTTAACAATATATTGGTTCCATTCGTAACCAGATTGTTTTAATCCATAGAGACTCTTTTTAAGCTTCCAAAAGTCATTATTAGTTTTATCATCCTTAATACCTACAGGTTTCTTTAGGTATATAGTGTGCTGCAAAGGTGCATGCAGATAGGCAGTTTCTACATCTAAATGATTTATGATATAGTTTTTCTTAGCTGCCCACACTAAAGCTGCTCTCAAGGTTGTTGCTTTTAGACTTGGTGCAAACACTTCATCATAATCACATGCAGTTTGATTAAATCCTTGAGCTACCAACCTAGCCTTATGGGTAACAGTCCCATTTGTACCTGTTTTTAATTTAAATATCCATTTGCATCCAATGGACTTTTCCCCTGGAGGTAATGTAGCATTCTCATAGACTCCCATCTGTTTTAATGAATTCAGTTCCTTTTGAATTGCTGTATGCCAGTTCTCCTGATCCTTCGCAGGATACAATTTTAGTTCTTCCACAGTGGTTGGAATTTTACTAATCTGGCACACCACACTTGCCTGATACCTATCAGGTGGTCTACTTACTCGTGTTGACCGTCTAGGTAGAACAGGACTCACAGATGGACTCTTATCTATCACCTGTTCCTGGTCATCTATTTCTTCTTCACTTATTTCTTCTTCAATTGGACTTTCCTCATCACTAGTATGGTGGCTCGGGCCCCTGTAGGTTTCTATAATTACACTTTTATTCGAATCTTGTTCCAATTTGTGCCATCCTACATGTTCCAGGAATTGAGCACTAGCACTACAATAAATTTTAGTTGTGCCCTCTTCCCAGAACCTGTAAGATCTATGGTTTGATTCGTAACCTACAAAATATAATCTTTTAGCCCTATACTGTCCCTTATGTCTCAGTTGTGTGGAAATATGCACCCATGCTGGTGCTCCAAATGTGTGTATATAGCTTAGGTCAGGTTTTCTACCATGCCACCGTGTGAATGGTAATTCACCTGTTGTTGAATTAACAACATTATTCAATATATGATTACCATACATTATTGCTTCTCCCCACAAATTCTCAGGTAATCCTGAATCTGACAACATAGTACGAGCCATTGCCTGCAGTGTTTGGCCTTGTCTTTCTATAAAGGAATTATGTTGTGGCCTATATGGTGCAGACCTTTTATGTTCTACACTTGCCATCTTCAGTCTATTTTGGAATTTATTATTTATAAATTCCGTACCATTATCAGTTACAAGAGTTACTAGTTTCCTTTTAGTTTTTCTCTCTGCAAACTTCAACCAATTAAAGAAATTTTGATATGTTTCCGTTTTACTCTTCATTAAATAACAGAAACCATATCTAGAATAATGATCCATTATACTTAATATATAACGAGCACCTCCCACACTTGGTTTTTTAGGACCTATAATATCAGCAAATACGACCTCTAGAGGCTCCTTTGTTTTAAATCCATTAATTCTATTTGCTGGTATTACCTTGCTTTTTTCTTGACTGCAAGCATTGCAGTGCAAATACTTACTGCAAGGCTTCAGTTTTATACCTTTAGACAGTTCAACCGTTTGCTTGAGCATTTTAAAATTTATATGCCCTAAACGTCTGTGTAACAAATGTATGCATTCATCATGAGGCTTAACGGTATTATACACTGTGTTAGCCACCTCTAATTGATTATCATTTAACACATACAATTCACCTTTTAAAGTTGCAGTCACTTTTTTACCTTCCTTTTCTATTATGCAGTTTTCTCCCCTAAAGGTAACTACATAACCTAGTTTAATCAAAACTCTAACCGAAAGCAAATTAAACTTAAGTTGTGGTACATATAACATTTTTACATTTTCTTTTATGCAAGAACAATATGCAGTACCTTGACCCCTTGCTTTCAGTTTCCAACCATTAGGTAATGATATCTGCTGTGAACTCGTGGACATCTTAATAAATCTTTTCTTATCTTTTGTTATGCAGTGCGATGCTCCACTATCTACCACCCAAAAATTATTATTGTTCACAGTTTTGTTGCTATACATGGCTAACTCTAAGCATTTTTTATCCTTTTGATGCCTTTTAGCATTCTGGCTGGCATTTTGGCATTTTTCTTTCTTGCAGAATCTGGCCAAATGTCCTTTTCTTCCACAATTAAAACATTTTCTAATTGTGTAGGCTGACGAAGATAATTCCTCTTCTTGTGGTTGTTCCCTTCTGAGTTGATCCCTTTCAAGCCTTCTCCTGGCTTCTTCAATTAATCTGCCAGTAATGTCAGTTAATGTGAGGTTATCCTTTGGCAGCACTTCCAATGAAGTTACGTAATCGTCATAGCTCTCATGTAATGAAGACAAAATTATATAAACCTGATGCAGTTCAGTGAAGATAAGCTCTTTTTCATGCAGCTCCTGAAAAATCCTCTTCATAGTGTTTATATGAGTCAACATGTCTCCATTCTTTTGAAGATGTGTTCTAAACAGCTTCCGTGTAAGATTTATATGAACTCCTACACTGTCTCGAACATAAATCTTCTTTAAATTATCCCAGCACTTAGCAGCTGTTTCTTCTCCATGAATATGGACAAGCTGCTGGTCACTGAGTGTCAGTCCTATTATACAGAGAGCTTGCTCATTCTTCAGTTTATATTCTTGTATTTTGTGGGCATCATCTTCATCCTCTGGATCCCAAGCATCTACCTCTGGTGGGTTTTGAATTATATTCCACAAACCTTCTCTGCGTAGAAGTAGGCTGCATTTCATAGACCATGAAACATAGTTTGTTCCATCCAGTTTGGATATTAGAGACAAACTTGGTAAATTGACTTCTGCCATCTTTCTCTGGATATTAAACTATAATTAATAAAACACAGCTGTCTGTTTACAGTATTGTGTAACTACACTAACTCTCACTTTATATAAGCCTGTTATATCCTGGTTAGTCTGACTGTGCAGCTGGGCCCATAACCAGTGTTAGGGATATACCCTAGCAAGAATCTGCAGGGCAGTCAGGCAGGCAGGCAAAATATGTGTGAGATAAACGTTGTTTGTAGCTTACACACAGTAAAACAGAGGGCACAGTGCTAATTAAATAGTTTTATTCCGGCAAGAGTTAAAGCATAGTCAAAAACAGTCCATATATCATTCACTTAGTTCAGTCCGTCCAGGGATTATTCATTTGCAAATTCCAGTGTCGAAAAAGAGAGGTCAGTACACTTACAAATATCAGTCCGGTGATATATCTTCTCGCAGTAGAGAGATATGAAAGAACTCAGAAACTCCTCTCTTCCTTCTGCAACTCTTCAGTAGGGAAAACACGCAGCTAACAAACATCAACGTAATCCAATCCAGTAATTGTCAGTAATTGCCAGCAAACGTCAGGGAATCGTCAGCAATCAGTCAAGTTGTCTTGCTGCCTCTTATGGTGGTTTCACACCACACCCAAAATTACATGCTTTGCAGTTAAAGTGACACACACTTAAACTAACATTCATAGTTTATATATATTATTTTACCCAAACTTCGTTAGGTGACCTATGTTATACCTAACACAGCCACTTTTAATTGCTTGATTAAGTGGATGCTTCCTAAGTTTCTTTCTCTGAGACACTCTGGAATCCTTCCCCCCAACCCATGTGGTTGGTCCCCCAAGATCACTATTCCATTGCAGCAAATCACACAACAGACTTGTTGGAAGAGAGAGTAGTTACACCACCAGGGCATTTCTGCTCCTGCTTTCAGCACTTCCAGCAGAATAGGCAAATGCTATCCCCTCAATGACAATGATATTATCTTTCTTTTATTTTGTTTACTGTAGGTATTTGCATTTCCTTAACAGAGAGGAGGAGAGCTGATTGGGCCACTGGTAGCCTAACTTGCACCATTGGGAGAAAGGCTTTGCCATCTCCAGTTTGAGAATCTGAATGATAGTGTAGCACTTCCCAATTCCACTACTTCTGAATCCTTGAAGAAGGGAGAATCATTGCCTGCAGGGAGAAGAGCACTGGAATTAATGGTATCTTTCAGGAAATCTGTCATGAGTATGGATCCTTTATTGTCAGTTGTATATATCCATAGCAAATTGAAAGAATGTTTATTTCAGGGCGGCTAAGGAAAACGTGCCGTACAAGAATATTCTGTCGGTTAATTGACTTGTTACAGCATGTGATGGACAAAAGACATGGTCTCTAGGATGATTTGATCTCATAGTTTCAAACTTAAATCTTTTGTCTTTCCTGTTTATTGCAGCATAAACATATTAACAGTTCTTCAAATAACATGGTCAATAAAAAGGAGAGCAAGCCCAAGGGCTTTCTTCTTTTCTTTCTTTTCTTTTTTGGCACCTCAAAACGCAAATCTCTCACAAAGCAAAAACAAACAGACAAACTTAGAGCTGCCAATGAGCAGTAGCATCAGAAAGTTATTTGCAGATGTCTGGAAGCAAGTTTCTCTTACTGGCCATTTAAATATGGGAACAAACAAGTAACAGCTTATATCTTTGAAAACTTTCACATGTCTTCAAAAGCAAGAAGAAACATGACAAGCAGGAAGAAATTGTAGTGATTGAAGGTCCCTTAATTACAATGAAGAGTTTTGTGGGGACTCTCCAATCTATGGGATAGATGCTAAGCTTTATATTACATTTTGATACATTCAGATTGTTGGGGTTTGCAAATTGCCTCAACTGGGTAGTAACATGGAGACAAAGAAAGAAAGGATTTAGAACTTAGACTTAGACTTAAACTAACTTTATTGTCACTTTAAATGTACACTAATTGGCATACATTAAAATGAAATTTTATTGCATACAGCTTTCAAAATAAATAAATAACAAGACAGTCTGGTTCAAATGTATACAGGCACATGGTGAGAAAAATGAATCTTGTGAGTTTACAAGATGAATGGCATAGGGAACAAAGCTGTTACAGAATCTGGTAGTCCTATTAGAAGGACTTTGAAACTTCCTCCCAGGGTGGAGCAACAGAAACAGACCGCAAAATGGGTGTGTGAGGTCTTTAACAATGCTTTGTGCTGTAAGCACATAGCACTTATAAGCAGTATCCTGAATAACAGGAAGCAATCTTCCTATAATCTCAGCTGTCCTTACTACTCTCTTTAGGGACCTTCTATCTGAGGCACTGCTACCACCAAAACAAACAGTGATGCAGTTTGTTCAAAATGTTCTCAATTGTGCCTCTGTAAAAAGTGGCCAGGACAGAAGGATGTGCTCTCCTCATCTGATGCAAGAAATGCAGATACTGGTTTGCATGCCTCACTAAGGATGATGTGTGGAGTGACCAGTTCCAAATTGTTAGTTATCTGCACCACTCGATATTTCTGTGTTATGTTCCTTGTCTAATTAGATAAATATTCTTATTAGATTTCTTATCTAATCTTCATTCTTCTAATGAGCCCTTATTTTATTTTCCCTAGCTTTTTGTTCAAGTCTTCCTTTTCCAGTTCTATCCATTAACATCTTACCCCTGATGAACCTACTTTTTACTCCTTCATTTTCCCAAAATGCTTTTTAAACAACCCATCCCCTCAAGCTTTATTGATTTCTCCCCCTCCAATTGCTAAAACTGCTTGTGGAGAGCTATTCAAGGCTAGGGTCATTTTTGTAAATTAAGATTATGCTAGGCCAGAGTTTTGTTTTTATAGCAGGCCATAACCAGGGGTGGAATTCTACCAGTTCACACTTATTTGCTAGAACTGGTTGTTAACATTCTAAGCAGTTTGGAGAACCAGTTGTTAGAATAAATTACTGGCCTAATCCTGTAAGGAAGGCAGGAAGGAACCATTGTGGTCTTGCTTACAGAAACTGCCTCTCCATTAACCCTTATTATATTCTTGGCAGGACTAGACTTCCTGTCTCAGGAACGTCTCTGGAGATTTTTCCCCTCCTTTGCTGGTACTTTGGTTGTGTGGAGAGACCATTCAAAGTTACAATGGCAATGAAAAAAGTGATTTATGACCATATTTTCACACTTACGATTGTTACAGCATCCCCACAGTCATAAGAGGCCAGGTGAAGAGATGCATGCCTCGATATGAGTGATATTGAGTTGGCCACAGCCAGCCAATAACATGACCACCAAGCCATGTTCACCCAGTCACATGACCACCAAGCCACACCCACCACCTAAGCCACACCCACCACCTAAGCCACACCCACAGAACCAGTTGTTAAACATTTGAATCCCACCCCTGGCTATAACCCTAACCCTACCCACCCCCATTAAAAAAAAGTAGAACTAAAATTTTGTCTGGAACAAGCAAACTGACAGGTACAAGGAAAGAAGTAGGCTATTTAAGGGAAGTACATCACAGTATATTCCCTCCATGTGGGCAGAATAGGTGAACAAAACTTGTTATAACAGGTACTGATGCATTGAAAAAGTAACAGGGTGAGCTGGGGAGCCTGGTTAAGACAGATGGTGTGCAGAGATTCCCATGGGCATCAAAGGCAGAGAGATCTTAATTCTGTGACTATCAGGTTACACAGTGTTTGCTTCAAAATATTGCTTCCCTATGTAAATAAGGGCATTTTCACTTGGTTGTATGGGGAATGTCAGCAGAGATTCTGCCTGTATCTAGGATCACAATGTGTGCTATTTCTACAAGTGTGTTTGGTAGTGATCTAAATGCTAATAGAGCTGAGTAATCTTCACTCCAAGTCTAAATACAGACCACAAAAACCTTTGTGTAACTTGAAGAGTCCTCTCTTCTTAGAACCACTGAAACTTGTTATAAGGGTTGTGGCCTGATACATATGGGCATGCTTATGTGTACATATGTGTTACATATGCATTTGTGTATGCTTTTTTGAAGTAAAATTCCCTATACACTATTCAGAAAGCTTCATCTGAAAAAGGTCACTCATCTTTGTCAAGGTTTCAGATCAATATTTCTGCAAGTGAAAAGCAGGTATAGCACCCATACAGAAGTGGTATTCAGCAGGTTCTGAGCAGTTCTGGAGAACTGATAGTGGATTTTTTTTTAATATAAATTTTTATTGGTTTTTAAGACAAACATAGACAGACAAAACATAAAAACATCAAGCCATCTTCCGTATATATACATAAAGTGTGTCGGTTGGTTTACAAATTGTTTTGTGCTTCCATTTCATAGTCTTCAATTACAATTACATTGTATATATTCTCATATTTCCAATCAAATATTAAGTACATTAATATCATTGTTAATCAATCATTTGACTATACTTTTATTCATTCATGTTTTACGAAATAATCCATATTTTACTTAATTTGTTTTATGACAGTTCATATTATCATCTCAAATCTATCCTACAATCATTTTGTAGATATAATAAGAAAAGAATACATCTTTATATATTCATTATTTTCTAAGAATCTACATATTTCATTACCATGTTTTATTGTCTAACCATTGATAGAATAGATCCCAAATTTTATAAAATTGTTTATCATCTTGTTCTCTAATTTCAAATGTCAATCTACTCATTTCAGCACATTCCAATATTTTCTTAATGATTTCATGTAATGGTATTTTCTCATTTTTCCAATTTTTGGCAAATACTATCCTAGCCACTGTTAATACATTTACAATCAGGTATTTCAATTCTTTACTATATATTTCAGGCAAAACTCCCAATAAAAATATCTGGTTTCAAGTCTATATGCTTTTTTGTCATTTTTTCCAACCACGTGTGGATTTTAGTCCATTTTTTTTGGCATCCACACCACATATGAGCCTGGTATTGATGACATTTCCAACATTTTTTGGATGTGTTCTTGAACATTCTTGCTATTCTTGTCGGGGGAAATGCCACCTGTAAAACATCTTATACAAATTTTTTTTATATGCTGTTGACATTGTCATCGCCAATTCACATTATCAAATGCCTTCTGTGCATCTAAAAATATCAAAGCCATTTGCTTTTTGTGCCTCATAGTACTCCAAGGTGTCCAAGATTACTCTCATATTGTCTTTAATTTGTCTCTTTGGCAGAAATCCATTTTGATCAGAGTGGATAAAATTGTTTAAGTATTTTTAAAGTCTTTCTGCCAATATTGAAGCAAACATTTTATAATCTGCATTTTTGTAAGGAAATAGGTCTATAGTTCTTGATTTGTAATGGATCGACCTCCTCTTTTGGGACAAGTGTAATATAAGCTTCTGACCATGATTTGGGTATCTTCTTCTTTACCATAACTTCATTCATAACTTCTAGCAATGGAAGGTTCAATGATTCTTGTAGTGTTTTATAAAATTCTGCCGGAAGTCCATCTGGGCCTGGTGCCTTTCCATTGTTTTGCTTCTTAAGTGTTTCAGTTAACTCCATCATCATTATATTGCTTTCTAACATTGTTTCAATCTCTGTAGGTATCTGGGGGAGATTAGCATTCTGTAAGTACTGTTTAACTCTTTCCTCATCAATATTCTCTTGCATATATAGTTTCCCATAGAAGTCTCGAATGATTTCCTTCTTCTCTTTACTACCATAGCAAACTTGGCCTTGGTCATCTATTAATTGCAATATTTTCCTTGATTCTTTCTCCTTTCTCAATTTATATGCTAACCATCTACCTGGTTTATTTGCATCTTCAAAATAGTTCTGTTTCGCACCTCTGATTTTCTGTGCTAGTTCTTCTTTTTCCATTAGTCTCATTTTATGTTTAATTATATCCATTTTTAACTTAATGTCCTTTTTCTGTGGCATTTTCTGTACCTCTTTTTCAAGTCCTTTATACCTATCCTCTAATGCCTTAGAGGCTAGTCTTTTCATGGTATTTCTTTTCCTTGTATAGTCTATTATCAAGAGTCTGGCATATGCCTTCATTGTATCCCATACGTTCTGCATTGATGTATCTTCTTTTTTGTTTTCTCTAAAGCAGAAAGCCAGTTCTTTCTCCATCCACTGTATGAAGTGTTTTTCCTTTAATATAGTATTATTTAACGTTCATCTAGATCTTCTTCTTTGTCCTTTCCATTTAATTGTCATTGGATTGTGATCTGCCCAAGTACTTGTTTCAATATTTATTTCTTGAATATTAGCTAACAATTCTGTTGACATCCATATCATATCTATTCTGGACCATGATAAATGTCTGTTTGAATAGAAGGTGTATTGTTTAATCTCAGCATTTCTTTCTCTCCATGTATCTTTTAAATTTATTTTATCTATCATTTTAAAAAAGGATTTAGGGAGAGTCTTTCTGTTTTGCTTTGTTGTTTTCTGTGCTGTATAGTCCAATTTATTATCTACAATTAGATTAAAGTCTCCCATCATAACTATATTAGCATAGTCCAGTTCAATTATTTTCATATGTAATTTTCTATAAAATTCTTCTTGATTGTCATTCGGGGCATAGATTGTAATCAGGAGTGTTTTCATATTATTGTCCAACATTTCCACCATTAATATTCTTCCATCGTCATTGGTATAGATCAATTTTGCTGGGATAATATCTTTAATGTGTAAAACCACTCCTCTTTCCTTGCATTGTGTCAAAGAAGTAAATATTTCCCCTAATTTTGGCTGTATCAGCAATTGTTCATGTTGCTTTTTAATATGTACTTCTTGTAGGCAGATTATATCAAATTTTAATTTATCTAATTTATGGAAAGTTTTCCTTCTTTTAACAGCTGAGTTAAGTCCATTTATGTTAATTGTA